GCAGTTATGAATAATACTCCCATAAAGCTAACATTTGTGTGCAGGTTTTTAAATGGACATAAGTTTCCAACTCACTTGTGTGAATACCTAGGAGTATGATTTCCAGATTGTTGAAATATTAATAACAAGTTCTTAAAGGAACTTAATTATAACAATATCTCTGGCATGTAGGAATACTCACATCTTTAATTAATAGTAAAAGAAAAAAAATTGTTCCCTGGGTTCATATAGCTGAATTCTGAATAAATAAATATTTATTTTGTTTCTTTCTCTGTGCATAATTATACTTAGGCATGAAAGGCTATTTAGGGGTCTAAAGTGGCTCCGGCCGGATGTCGTGGCGCTTGCGAAGGCGAGGTCATGAGTTCAAGGCTAACCTGAGCAACCTTACAAGCTCACATTGATTGGCAAAAAAAAAAAAGAAAGCCTATTTAAACTCATGCTTTTCTACTGTTTGTTCTTTTTTATTTGATTTCAGTATGAGATAAACTCATAATTTGATAAGACCATTTTAATTAGTGGTTGTGAACAGTTCAGTTTAAAGACAGGGAAACTAGCGTATACTAAGATAACTATTAGAGTACAGTTAGGAGATCAGAGTGTCTCCTTAGTTTATTGAATGTCTGTTTCTGAGTTAGATGTGATGTTTAATTCTGTGCTAGGTATCATTCCAAACCTTTGATTAGATGTTCATCTTTCCATTCCCATAGACAACCAAGGAATTTATAAGCTAAGACAGATAACATTAATACAGATAGTAAGATGGACTAGTCACTGAATTGACACTATATAAATGATAATAGTTATTATCATAATACATACCATTTGTTGAGCACTTACTATATGCAAAGTACTGTTCTAAGATTAGAGCAGAACTAGGTTTTATGTGACCTGCCAACAATTTCACTTCAAAAATAAGGAAACTGAGGAGGTTAAGTAATGCATGCTGATGTTGTCAGTGTCAGCACTGGGATTCAAACCCAAGTAATTTGGCTTCAGAGCTCTAGTGAAAGATTATAACACTCTACTATTTTTCCCATTCAACAAAATCGTTAAAATGTGTGAGGAAAAAGTAGTGTCCTTATTGGATCAATGATGAGGATCATAGGATTCAAATTCAGAGAAGACATGCAATAAAGTGGAATGGAGGTGCTCCAATAAAAATGATGTTGAGTAAATTTGCCAAGAGTAAGAATTGTTGAGAAGACATAGAATTTTTAGTTTTTTTCTGTCAGACACGGTGGCTCATGCCTATAATTTAAGCACTTTGGGAAGCGTAGGTGGGAGGATCTTTTGAGACTAGAAGCTGGAGATCAGTCTGGGCAACTATTAAAAAATTTTTATTATATGTTTTTAGAGATAGGATCTTTCTGTGTTCCCCAGGCTTCATTACAGTGGCACAATCATAGCTCACTGCAGCCTTAAACTGCTTGGGCTCAAATGATCCTGCCACCTCAGCCTCCTGAGTGACTGGGCTATAGGTACACACCACCATGCCCAGCTAATTAAAAAAATGTATTTTGTAGAGGCTGGGTGCAGTGGCTCACACCTGTAATTGCAGCACTTTGGGAGGCTGAGGTGAGTGGATCATTTGAGGTCAGGAGTTTGAGATCAGCATGGCCAACAACACAAAACCCCTTCTCTACTAAAAGTACAAAAATTAGCTGGGCTTGGTGGTGTGTGCCTGTAATCCCAAGTACTTGGGAGGCTGAGGCAGGAGAATCACTTGAACCTGCGAGGCGGAGGCTGCAGTGAGCCAAGATCATGCCACTGCACTCCAGCTTTGGCAACATAGCGAGACTCTGTCTCAAAAAAAAAAAAAAAAATGTAGAGATGAGATTTTGCTAGGTTGCTAAGGTTGGTCTTGAGCTCCTGGATTCAAGTGGTCCTTTTGCTAGGGTTTCCCAAAGTGCTGGGATTACAAGCATGAGCCACCATACTTGGCCAATACATACAATATTAAGGTTAATGATGAAGCTCCCTTTCAAGGGAATTCATCTGATAACTCTGTATTTAAACACATTTTCTGGAATAGTCAGATTTTTGTTTTTATTGTCTGTTTTTTTTTTAAGAGATGGAGTCTCACTCTATAGAGTACAGTGGAGTGAACAAGACTCACTATAGCCTTAGCCTCCTGGGCTCAAGCAGTTCTTCTACTTCAGCTTCCCAAGTAGGTAGGATTATAGGTACAAGCCACAGTGCCCTGCTGAAACAGTCAGCTTGCAAATCCAGAAAGTGAAATCTAAAGAGTCAGGATACTACAGTGGAAAAAGTTCTGAGTGTCAGGACAGTTGGTTTCTAGTAATAACTCTGCCATTGAGGACGTGATGATAATTATTTTACTTAGAGGCTCTCTTAATTCTACAATTATTTGAAACAATTTTCACATATTTTCCATATAATTTAAGTTTGATATGAAAGGATCTGTCATAGGGAATAAATGTTACTAATTTCTCTAGTACCATTCATGAACTATCAACTTTCAGATCTCACAAGTACAAAAATATTGGTTACTCTGATTCTTATTCTATTTTGTGTACTCCTCCTCAAGACTGTTGCTAACCTCTCTGGCCCACCTCCCTCTCTCCACCTGATCACCATTATTTTCTTTCTCTTTTTTCTTTTCTTTTCTTTTTTTCTTTTTTCTTTTTGCAATGGAGTCTCTTTCTGTCACCAGGCTGGAGTGCAGTGGCACCATCTAGGCTCACTGCAACCTCTGACTTCCTGGTTCAAGTGATTCTTCTGCCTCAGCCTCCCATGTAGCTGGGGTTACAGGCACATGCCACCGTGCTTAGCTTTTTTTAATTTTTTTTTTTTTTGTATTTTTAGTAGAGATGGGGTTTCACCATGTTGGCCAGGATGGTCTTGATCTCCCGACCTTGTGATCCACTTGCCTTGGCCTTCCAAAGAGCTAGGATTACAGGCATAAATCACCACACCTAGCCTTGATCACCATTATTTTTGTAGCTTATAGCTTTTTGATTAGATGATCTCAATAACTACTTAACTTCCTAGGTCATGTTTCTCATGTCTTCACTGGACAAAAACATTGACTGTATTGAATTTTTACCAGTTGCTAGATCTGAGCTTGGGCATGAGAGGATATGATGATATAAGTTGGGTCCTGCACCTGCAGGAGCCTCCCAATACTGTGAGACCTAGAAGAGGGAGCCAGGAATGATTTTACTGAGAAAGTAAATAATTATGTGAGGTATTGAAGGGTGAGTAGGAGTTTTCTGAGTGAACAAGGACATGCTAGGTAGAGGAAGTAGCACTTGTAGTGGCATGGAATCATGAAAGCTTATTGTCCACTCAGAGGGACAAAAGGTTTAGTGTGATTGATGCATAGGGTCTGGAGGAGGGGAAGGAGGCAGGGAACAGTGACAGAGTTACAGAGGGGTTTTAGGGCAGGTGTTGGTGGTTGTTTTATGGTATATGAGGTGTATGTTTACAAAAGGGGTCGTGTAGATTCTATTTAGGGGAAATAAATTGGTGATACAGAGGCCGAATTAGCGTAAGGGGACTATTTGGAAGGTTGTTGCAGTTATTTAGAGGAGGGTGGATGAAAAGTTAAGTGAGGGCAGTAGCAGTGGGAAAGAGAAAGAGGACTGTATTAGAAAGAGAATCACTTGGATTTGCTGGTAGATTGGATTTGGGAAGTCAGTTGAGAAAGAGCTTCACAGAGACTGTGAGCTGAGGTCTGATACCATTGGGCATGACAGGGATTATCAGAGCAGGGACTGGGGAGTAGTTATCTATGATTTCTGTGTCTGAGGTTGGAATTGTTCAGTAGGTGGTTGGGAAATAGATGGGCTGTCCAAGAAAGTTTAAGAGCCATCAGCATATCTATCAGCCAGTGATTCTCGTGTTTGTGTGTTTATGTGTGTGTGTGTGTGTGTGTGCATGAGTGCACACACTAGGGTAGGGTATATGTATCAGGATCACCTGAGGAAATTTTAAAACCACATCCTTACCTGCAATAAGTAAACATCTCCCCCTCCACAGTTGTGTTAAGAATCCTAGCTATCTGGGTCATGCCAAACCCAACACTTTGGGAGGCTAATGTGGGAGGATTGCTTGAGCCCAGGAGTTTGAGACCAGCCTGAGCAATATGGTGAAAGCCCATCTCTACAAAAAAAAAAAAATACAAGAATTAGCTGGGTATGGTGGTGGATGCTTGCAGTCCCAGTTACTGAGTAACTGGGACTGAGTAAATGGGAGGCTAAGTGGGAGGATCATCTGTGCCTGGGGAGGTCAAGGCTGCAGTGAGCTGTGTTTGTGCCTCTGCACTCCAGCCTGGGCAACAGAGACCCTGTCTTGAAAAAAAAAAAAAAAGAATCATAGCTGTGAGAGAAGCCAGAAAGGCAGAAAAGGAACACATGCAGAACCCTGAAAAATACCACAGAAAATGGAGGGGAAAAGAAAGAGAAATGAATCTGCAAGGGGAATCATCAGAGAGTCAGAAAGACTTGAAGAAAAGAGTCCTCCAGAAGCTAAAGTTACAGATCATGTCAAGGAAGTCAGTGGCGTCAGAAGCTCTTCCAATCCCTCCAGAAACAGTTGCCTGAGAAATCTTTCTTTTATATTTTACTTCATCTATCAACAGCAAGATAAAATTCTTGGCTTGTTTTTCCAGACCCACCTTTAAATTTGCACTTGTGACCTTTGTTGTCCTCTTCCAGCTTTCCTGTGAGTATAGTGGTTAAGACAGAACCAGGCTTCTAGGCTTTGAATTCCAGCTCATCTGCTTGTAAACTTCTCCTTTACCCTATGCTGTGGTTTGAATGTGTCCCCTCAAAGTTCCTGTGTGTGAAACATAATCCCAAATACAACAATGTTTGGAGGTGGGACCTTTAAGAGGCAAGGCCCTCATGAATGGGTTAATGGTGTTCTCCTGAGAGTGGACTCCTGATGAAAGGATGAGTTTGGCCCCCTTTTGCTCTTGCACACTCACGCTTGTCCTCTCTTGACCCTCTGCCTTCCACCATGGGATGGTGCAGCAGGAAGGCCCTTGACAGATGTTGGCATCTTGATATTGGACTTCTCAGCCTTCAGAACTGTGAGAAATAAATTTCTTCTTTATAAATTACTGTCTGTGTGCTGGGTGCAGTGGTTCATGCCTGTAATCCTAGCACTTTGGGAGGCTGAGGTGGGAGGATCACCCAGGCACAGGAATTCAAGACCAGCCTGGGCAGCATAGCAAGATCCCATCACTACAAACATTTTAAAAATTAGCAGAGTATAGTGGTGTACGCCTGTTTTCCCAGCCACTCGGGAGTCTGAGGCAGGAGGATTGCTTGAGCCCAAGACATTAAGACTGTGGTGAGCTGAGTCTGCATCACTGCATTCCAGCGTGGGCAACAGAGAGAGACCCTGTCTCAAAACAAAAAACAAATACCATTTTCAATTCTTGGAGATCCTCTTTAATTAAAATAATATAGGTGGTTAGTCATTCTTTCTTTAGTACTTATAATCTTAGTATGAATTATATTATTTTATACTTGTTACTTGTGAAAAAAATCCACAAGTCATTTTAATCTCACTATGTGCAAAATATTTCTCTTGCCACGATGGCCAGTGCAGACAGTGCTGTCTCTCTATGAGGTCCTCTGCAAATTTCTGCTGACTGACAATGACATTGGTTAGTACCAAACAGTGAAACAGAAAACATCTTGTTTAGTATGCAGCAATGAGCTTGGACTAATGCCACAACAGACTGTTTACAAAGGAACCCAATAAGATGAAATGTCACCACAAAAACATGTGTCTCACTCAATGATATGCCTTAGTGTTAACACTGAACAAATTCCTTTTTGATGCTTCTTTCATAGAAAGGCACAGATTCTGAGGTTAGTCTCTATGAGTCTTGGTTAAGAAAGGGGGGCACTTAACTTCTTTGCCTTGAAAAAAAATTAAGTGTAACATACATATGGAAAGGTGCACAAATTATAAGTGTAGAGGTTGCTAAATTATTCTAAGTCTGGAAATGTGTAGCCATCACCAGTCAAGAAATAGATTACCAGCAACTTGGAAGCACCGCTTGTTTTTCTCTCCAGTTATTGTCTTCTCTCTCCTTCCCGGTGGTGGGGCATTTAACTTTGGCTTTTTGTTTGTAGTGGCCAGATCCCCTCTCTTTCTCCATGAGGCATATTCTGCTAGCCTATTAGGAGAATCCTTTTACAATTTGGCCAAAGCCAGCCGTTCCTTTTCTATGGTTATTTTCCCCATCTGTTTAGAATTCACATCCACATTGTATTGTTGCCTCATCTAATCAAGCAAGGGAATGTCTCAAGAGTATGTGCTCCATAAACTACTTAATTTTCTGAAATACTCACTGCCAGGGGCCTAATGAGAAACCACCAAATCTTCTCTGGCTGTAGGTCTGTCTCAGGGCCTGTGTGTCTCGAAGAGTGATGCACTGCACACAGGCTGCTGCAAATTTAAGAAATAATTTCTATTTATTTTTGCTAAGGTAAGAGTTCTTATCATAGTTGTAGCCACAATAATGCACTCTATTCTTTTTCCTTATATTTATGCTTTAAGCATTATAACATGTTGCATATGCTTATTATAAGTAGAGAAGTTAAAAACAATCATAGGATGGATCCAGTTTCCATGTTAACACAGAGCAAGCATATCTTGTAGCTGTCTTCAAGGACATGGAATCTAGGCTCCTTTAATAGCAAGACTTAGCTTTATTTTTATTCTTTGTCTTTCTTATACTATGAATACTAAGTCCTTGTTTAAAACAAAAGTCTTTCAGAAGTTGAAAAATTTTTGTTATTTTTTAATCTTTTCAGAAACAGAGTTTTACTCTGTCATGCAGGCTTGAAAACAAAGGACCAGTCATAGCTCACTGCAACCTCTAACTCCTGGACTCAAGCAATCCTCCTGTCTTAGCCTCCCAAGTTAGCTGGGACTACAGGCATGTGCCACCATGCCTGGATAATTTAAACTGTTTTATTTTATTTTTTATTTTTTTGTAGAGACAGTCTAACTATGTTGCCCATGCTGGTCTTGAACCCCTTGCCTCAAGCAATTCTCCTGCCTTGGACTCCCAAAGTGGTGGGATTACAATTGACGCCACTGCACTAAAAGTTATAAAATAGTGCAAAAGGCATTGGATTTGAGAAAAATTACTCAAATAATTCTCAAATGGATTTGGAGCTTTTAATTCAGGCAAGAATTAAGTAGAATGAAATAATTAGAATAAGATAAATAAATATAAATTAAATAGAATATATATAATTGAGGAATTACTTATATGACCTTTGTTTTTTTTAATCTTTATTCTTTTAATTTTAATGCTAATTAAATGATCTTTTGCTTCCATGAGCATATATATATATATCACTGCCTCACAAAGGTATACCTTTTTTTAAGAACTTTTTAATTTTAATTTTATATTTTTTTGACAGCAACCCTCTTAACTCCATCTCCAGAGTCCCAGAGCAAGAATTCCAATCCTTTGAGCATAGGTCCAAACAACAAATGGATGATTTAGCACATGAGATCCTTTTATAAACAGTCCTCTTTGGCAGACTTTTCTTATTCTGATAGCCTGTGCTCCCTACAGAGATTTTTGCTTTTTTTTTTTAAGTGTACTTTACGTTCTGGGGTATATATACAGATCATGCAGGATTGTTGCATAGGTACACACATGGCAATGTGATTTGCTCCCTCCATCCCTCAGTCACCTACATCTGGCATTTCTGCCCATGTTATCCTTCCCCGACATCCCAACCCCCCACCTTGACTCCCCGCAACAGACCCCAGTGTGTGATGCTCCCTTCCCTGTGTCCATGTGTTCTCATTGTTCAACACCTGCCTATGAGTGAGAACATGCAGTGTTTGGTTTTCTATTTTTGTGTCAATTTGCTGATAATGATAGTTTCCAGATTCATCTATGTCCCTGCAAAGGACACAAACTCATCATTTTTTTGTGGCTGCACAGTATTCTATGGTGTATATATGCCACATTTTCCTTGTCCAGTCTTTCGCCGATGGGCATTTGGGTTGGTTCAAAGTCTTTGCTATTGTAAACAGTGCCAGTATGAACATAAATGTGCATGTATCTTTATAATAGAATAATTTATAGTCCTTTGGGTATATAGCCAGTAATGGGATTTCTGGGTCAAATGGAATTTCTATTTCTAGGTCCTTGAGGAAGTGCCACACTGTCTTCTACAATGGTTGAACTAGTTTACACTCCCACCAACAGTGTAAAAGTGTTCCTATTTCTCTACATCCTCTCCAGCATCTGTTGTCTCCAGGTTTTTTTAATGATCACCATTCTAACTGGTATAAGATGGTATCTCAATGTGGTTTTGATTTGCGTTTCTCTAATAATTAGTGATGATGAGCATTTTTTCATATATTTTTTGGCCTCATATATGTCTTCTTTTGAAAAGTGTTCATATCCTTCTCCCACTTTTGGATGGGTTTGCTTGTTTTTTTCTTGTAAATCTGTTTTAGTTCTTTGTAGATTCTGGGTATTAGCCCTTTGTCAGATGGGTAGATTGCAAAAATTTTTCCCATTCTCTTGGTTGCTAGTTCACTCTAATATTGTTTCTTTTGCTGTACAGAAGCTCTGGAGTTTAATTAGGTCCCATTTGTCTATTTTGGCTTTTGTTGCCAATGCTTTTGGTGTTTTAGTCATGAAGTTCTTGCCTATGCCTAAGTCCTGAATGGTTTTGCCTAGGTTTTCTTCTAGGGTTTTTATGGTGTTAGGTGTTATGTTGAAGTCTTTAATCCATCTGGAGTTAATTTTAGTGTAAGTTGTCAGGAAGGGGTCCAGTTATGCTTTCTGCACACTGCTAGCCAGTTTTCCCAACACCATTTATTAAACAGGGAATCCTTTCCCCATTGCTTGTTTTAGTCAGGTTTGTCAAAGATCAAATGGTTGTAGATGTGTGGCATTGCCTCCGAGGCCTCCGTTCTGTTCCATTTGTCTATATCTCTGTTTTGGTACCAGTACCATGCTGTTTTTGATTACTGTAGCCTTGTAGTATAGTTTGAAATCAGGTAGCATGATGCCTCCTGCTTTGTTCTTTTTGCTTAGGATTGTCTTGGCTGTGCGGGCTCTCTTTTGGTTCCATATGAAGTTTAAGGTGTTTTTTTCCAGTCTGTGAAGAAGCTCATTGGTAGCTTGATGGGGATAGCACTGAATCTACAAATTACTTTGGGCAGTATGGCCATTTTCACGATATTGATTTTTCCTAACCATGAGCATGGAATGTTTGCCATCGGTTTGTGTCCTCTTATTTCCTTGAACAGTGGTTTGTAGTTCTCCTTGAAGAGATCCTTTACATCCTTTGTTAGTTGTATTCCTAGACATTTTATCCTCTTTGCAGCAATTATGAATGGGAGTTTGCTCATGATTTGGCTCTCTGTTGGTCTGTTAGTGGTGTATAGAAATGCTTGTGATTTCTGCACATTGAATTAATGTCCTGAGACTTTGCTGAAGTTGCTTATCAGTTTAAGGAGATTATGGGCTGAGATGATAGGGTCTAAATATACAATCATGTCATCTGCAAATAGAGACAATTTGACATCCTCCTTTCCTAATTGAATAATATAGTTAAAAAGACTCTATAAACCTTTTTTTTTTTTTTTTGAGATGGAGTCTCCCTCTGTCACTTAGGCTGATGTGCAATGGTATGATCTGAGCTCATGCAACCTCCACCTCCCTGTTTCAAGCGATTCTCCTGCCTCAGCCTCCTGAGTAGCTGGGATTACAGGCACCTGCCACCACCCCCAGCTAAGTTTTTGTATTTTTCAATAGAGATGGGGTTTCACCATGTTGGCTAAGCTCATCTTGAACTCCTGACGTTGTGATTCACCTGCCTCAGCCTCCCAAAGTGCTAGTATTATGCCCAACTGTCTCTAAACCTATTTTAAGGGCCATAGGCACCCAATGGAGTTTTGATTGTCTGCCTCCTGGGTGGACTTTTTTTTTTAATCACTGTAACACAAGGTGCACAAATTATAAGTGTTTATTTAACACAATGATTATTTTCATGTTTATTTAATACAATGTTTCAACACAATATATTTCAA